ATAACATCCTCCCTGGTAACTGCTAAACTAGTCAACCTGTCCTCGTCCCTACCCACATAGACTTGTTCGGCTGAAGGCATAGAGTTAAATTCCTCTTTAGTAAATACAGATAAAATATTAAAAAAAATACTACTCATCTCTTCGTCATTATCCGTTATCTGACCTGTCTCGGTTTTTAATGGACCTATCCTTTCCCTAGTCTTTGTTCGATATAATGGAAAAAACTTAGGATTTGCCTTTGCTTGGCCTGCTATATGAACTTCATAGTTTCTTTTTGCTCTCCTTATCTCTTTTTTAATATTTCTAACCAGTTGTACGAATTCCTGTTCTAAACTGACTTCCCCATTCTTAATTCTTTTGTACCAAGCACTCTTTCTACCTATAAGGTTCTTCAGATCCTTTGTCATCCATTTCGGGTCATTAGTATTCGATCTATTTAATTTGTAAGGTATACTACGTTCCTGTGCTTTGCTTAGAATATTTTTAAATAAGCTATATTTTGAATCCACATCGAAATCCCTTTTTACGTCACTGCTGATAAGGTAGCCAAAGAATCTGCCTTTAAAGGAGACGTTGAATGTAACCTTGGATTGTCAATGAGCAATCTGAGAGCAGCAGTACACCGAGAACTTCAACAAGATCTTGTAGATCTGAGGCAAAGTGAAATTGACACCAGTAATTCCATCTATCATCATACTCTCATGCAAGAGGAGCCACACATCTATGGTTCATCCAATAAAATCAACAGACTTCTAGATGTTACTACTGCTCGGCTTAGACTCGGTTACAACTATCTCTGGAAATTCTCATTATCTGCTGATGTAGACCTGACCAAATGTAAACTGTGTCAACAAAATTATTCCCACACCCTCCGTCACTATGTGATGGAGTGCGGAAAGATACGTGAATTCAGAGACAGTTCTATAACCAATGTTCCAACGATGTGTAAATATTTCATTCAAAATGATCTGCTACCAGAAATTTTAGCCAAATATCCCCAGTTTGCTAACTGTAGGTAGTAACTAAGTGACTGTAACCTATCCACCGCTGCCCACTGGATGGGGGGCGGTGTGCAGGACACACATGTCAATTTTGACACTAGCTCTCCACATTTGTCAGTTGGTTAATTTAGAAACTGTAGTTGTGGTCGATCTCGAACCCATTGTTGATGTGACGACTTGTACTGAATTTTGTAACTAGCTCATCAAGATTGTAACTTGCTTAGCTAAAGGAATTGTGGGGTTCAGTCCCTGAGCCCATTATGTGCCTCTGTAACCCTTTCCACTACCGCCCACAAGATGGGTATGAGGTGCATAATAAATGAACTAAACTAAAAAACGTCACCCATCGCTGGGTTCACGTCTCGCCCATCCCCCCATGCCCAAGACTTTCCAATCTATTTCACCCAAAAAATCTTAGGCTATTAAAATCAGCTTTTCGAAAGTGGCACTTTAACAGAATTTTCCCCTACAAATCTATTCCATTCTACAATAAATCTGATTTCTTTGTGATCACTGTTCCCTAGCTCACCCCCTATTTCGATGTCATTAATATGTGTTTCCCTGTTAGTTAACACTAAATCTAAAATATTATTTTCCCTCGTTGGTTCCTTAATATGTTGCGTAAGAAAGCAATCGTCAATTAATTCTAGAAAATCTTCTGCTTCACTATTCCCTGTTTTGTTCAACCAGTTTATTCCACTAAAATTAAAGTCACCCATGACACAAATACTGCTAGATCTAGATGCTCTAGATATTTCATCCCATAGATGCTTTTCTTCCATTCTGTCTAAATTTGGTGGCCTATATAAAACGCCTAATATAAGATTATTTGCTTTTACGTTTAATTCTAGTCAAATAGTTTGTGTGTGTGGCTCAGTTTTGATTCCCTCTTTGAGACTACGTTTCAAATTGTCCCTAACATATATGGCTACTCCCCATCCTCGTCTAATATATCTATCTGTGTGAAATAATTTAAATCCATTTATCTGATATTCAGGTAATAATTATCTGTTTTCTACATTCATCCACGTTTCGGCAAGTGCAATAAAATCTATTTTTTTCCGAGCATACAAGAGCACCTAAATCGTTTATTTTGTATCGTAGACTCCTACTGTCCGTATAATATACCCTAAGTGTATCTTTATTTTGAAGCTCCATTCCTTCCCTGAGCATTTTGCCAAGTTGTTTCTCCCGCAAACACGTACTTTAATTACCTGTCCGTCCGTAACAGAGCGGGTAACATTTACTCACAAAGCTAGGAGTACTCAGGAGGTCATTGCAGTCATTCTGAGCTACCTATGTGCTTTAATATACCTACAATTTTTCTCTCATCTTTTATTTTTTTCATGCTATGTAACTGTTAACATTTTTATAAATTTGGCAAGTATTTACCTACTTATAAGTTTCTTAGATTAAGGACCTGCCCGAAACGCTGCGCATACTAGTGGCTTTACAAGAATGTAATTACCATGCTATGTATCCTCACAATCCCAATGTACCTTCTTGTATATATATAAATAAATAAATAAATAAATAAATAAATAAATAAATAAATAAATAAATAAGATATGGGCCGCAGAACATTTTACAGGCGACTGAAAAAGTAGAGGGGACGGGAATATCAGTACGAATCAAGAGAGCAGTAGAGTTATGCGCCCCAGCAAGAGCTGACGGGGAAAGGGGTGGGGGTGGGGTGGGAGGAGAGAAATGAATAACCATGAAAGTGACCAGGACGAGCACCAAGCATCGGCTCCTGGAGACATACACAAAGTGGTGAAAACTGTGTTATTAAAAGTTGGAGATCATGGAAGTTGGCATAAAATCAAATAATATTAGTGAAGAATAGACTGTCAAAAGGAGAGAGAACAGCGACAAAGAACAATGACTTCAGACCAGAAATCAACAACTTCAGACCTATATCAATTCTGCCAAACTTGTCTAAAATATTTGAAAAACTAATCTACAAGCAGCTTTACTCTTATCTAGCCAAACACAATATACTTAGCTTTTGTCAGTATGGCTTCAGACCCAAAAAAAAGCACTAACGATGCACTTATTTGTATGATTACCTTGATACATGCAGCTCTTGATAAAAATGAGTTCCCTATTGGGTTATTTGTGGACCTGCGTAAGGCTTTTGACACTGTCAACCACCAAAACCTTCTTCTTAAATTACAACATTATGGGGTCAGAGGTCACTCCCTGCAATACCTTAAGTCTTACCTTACTGACAGGCTCCAGTATGTTTCTGTGAATAATTCAATTTCTCCCACCCTACCCATCAACATTGGTGTTCCTCAGGGAAGCATACTTGGCCCTCTCCTCTTTCTCATCTACATTAATGACCTCCCAACATCTCAAACCAATTCTATTTGTTGACGACACAACCTTCATTTACTCCAGTCCTGACCCCCTTGCTCTAAATGCCACAGTGAATACTGAGCTAAATAAAATCCATCACTGGCTAACTGCCAACAAACTCACCCTCAATATTGACAAAACTTTCTATATTTTGTTTGGCAATAAATCCTCAAATCAAATAAATCTCAGGATTAACAATACCCAAATTTGTAACAAAGTAGATGGCAAATTCCTTGGCGTTCTCATTGACCGCAAGCTGAATTTCCAGGGACACATTCTAAATATATAAAAAAAAGTTTCAAAAACTGTTGGCATTCTTTCTAAGATCAGATATTATGTACCTCGCCCTGCCTTGGTGACACTATCACTCTCTCATCTATCCTTATCTCAACTATGGTATTTGTGCTTGGGGTTCTACTACCCAAAATCACTTACGTCCTCTAATTACTCAACACAAAGCTGCTATTAAGACAATATCTAACTCTGGCCCCAGACATCACTCGGTACCCTTACTCAAATCTCTGAATATGTTAGATATTAAGTCACTGCACATCCTCTCATGTGTATTTTACATATATAAAACGCTGAATTGTAATGTCAATCCTGACCTTAAAAGCTTCCTAGAAGGTTGTAACAGATCCCATGAGCACCACACCAGAAACAAATACCTATTTGATATTCCAAGAGTACGACTTAGTCAAACTAGAAATGCTTTACAAATCAAGGGACCTCGAATGTGGAATGACCTTCCCAATTATGTTAAAGACTGTACCTCTCCCAACCAGTTTAAGATAAAAACTAAGAACCACCTAATTAACTCAATGTAACTTATCTCACCCCTAAATGTCAACCCATGTCTACGATTTTTAACAATGCTGTTTGCTGACCAAATTGTGTTTTTGCTTTTTTCTGCCATGTCCCCCCCCCCCTTTTCATCTTTATCTGAGTTTTTTCACAACACAATTTATACTTTAATCTAAGTTAGTATTAAGTTTTAGTCTTAAAGCACGATATAGATGAGTGAGGGTGTTGTAAGGACCTCGCAAGGTAGCGAAGACAGTAGCAATCTCGGCGGTCCTGGAGAGACAGGAAGCCAGTGTTAACGTACAAGCTGAGGGTAGTAGTCGAACGAATGGCACCAGAGCTGAGGCGCAACCCAGTATGGTGCAAAGGATCCACGGGTTAAAGTGGATCCTTTAACTCCTCCTCAACTCACCCAGCATCAGAACAGAAGACAACAGAAAGAATATTCAAGCATGGCACCAAGTCAGCAGGAACACTCAAAAAAGAGAAGAGGTGAAGAGGAAAACTGAAAGCAGCAAAATAAGTAAAGACAGTTGGAGGAGTACAAGGCCACAAAAAGAGAGCAAATGATGTCCCAATGAGCATCACACTGCGACAGCCGCCCACCGAGCTCCCTCACCACAACAATGGGCTGGAAAGTGAGGGAACATCATATGACAAGCTACATCAATGGCATTGGATTCATAGATTTTATTGAGGGGACAGCTGAGGGAGGGAACAGAAGCCACCCCCAACTGCCTATAAATGGTGCACTAGGACCCCCTTTTCCTTGTTAACACCCATTATATGTAACAAATTTTTCTGTACATTAAGGAAATTTAAATAAAAATACAATTTCCAACCAACCTTTACTTTCAATACCTATTCATACAATTCATCAGTACCAAATGACCATGAGATAGTTTACACTGCCCAAACTTTCCCCACTTAAATTCACTGTATTTATCAAGTCAGCAAGCAGGACTGGCATAAAAAGTTTATAGCAGTCATTTTTACTGATAGATGAACATAATTTGCTTTTCATACCTCAAAATAATTCACTTCATTCAAGAATTTTGTTCCACCACTTCACAAAGTAATGAACATGATAATGTAAAACAAAATATATAGTAGTTGATTACATCTGGAAAACCTATAAAATAGCAGCAAAATATATATGCCAGAAACCCTTTATGTATTCCATAATTACTTATGGACAAATATTGTGAATCTCTTGCAAGGTGACAGCTATACCACTCAAGATCCCCAGCCTTCTTACCATTGAACTCTGGACTAGTGTTCCCCTTATCCCAATCACCTAACAATACCGTAATTACTTTATTGACTTGCTAATCAGTCCCGACTTCCTCAACTTAACAAACTTATCTTTCATGCCTAAGAATACCACTGTGCTCCAATTTTTATGGTATTTTGCAGGAAGAAAGGCATACAACATCACATGTTTCACATTGTAGTAGCCAGCCATATAGACTCTCCGGTGAACTGCTCAACCCTTCCACCACTAATGATGCTGCAGGCTAATCGCCGCACAAAATATTTCATTTGGGTATTGATATACGGCCAATCCCTAAATTATCTTTGTGAGTACGTGCACACTCATTAATTAACGTGTCCTGTTAATTAACATGAAACTATTTAAAATTTCTGAACATACACTCAATATGACAAATGTCATATCATTTACACTTGTTAAAAAATTCATAACCTCAAATCCTGATGACTAGCTTAATAGCCAAACCAGCCCTATATACACCATACATTCATATTATATATATTATATATATCTGTGTGTGTGTGTGTGTGTGTGTATTTATATATATATATACACACACACACACACACATACACATACACAAGGCTACAAAAGGAGAGCAACTGCTGTCCCAATGAGCATCACACTGTGACAGCCGCCCACCAAGGGCGGACAGCCGGAAATATATATATAATATATAATACTGTGTATATATATATTCAAAAATATGTATATATTTTTTTAGTGTGTATGTATGCATGCAAAAAATTACAAAATGTGAAATATAAATGCAAAGAACCATAGAAATTTAAGAATCTTTGCCTCGGCACTATTGTGTTCAACATATCAGATGCTTCCTAAGGAGTGAGCACAGTTAATATACATATACGAAGACAGGCTGATCAATATGAGTCAACATCGACAGGAACACACTGCACAGCCAGTGGGGTTGTGCCCTAGACTTGGCATATTCTCCAAGAACAAGTGGCAAGACACTAAATTACAATGTAGATAAACATTTCAACACATTTATAGGTCATGAATACATGTGTCGCCATATTCATCTCCAGCATATTGCAATCTGGTGTCTGCTTGCTTATTATTCGAGTCGTCTGATCTCTAGGGAACACCTCACGCGCCATGCTATCTTGATGTGTATGTCAGTCTATACTGATAAAGGTGTCTCCTAATGTGTCTTCCATTTCGTGTGCTCACCAGAAAAAAGCTTAGGAAAATATATTAATTTCCTTCTCTGGTTATTTGCATTTATATATCACATTTTGTGATTTTATTTACATATGTACTGTATATATACATACAGCAAAGATAAAAAAAAACACTGATCTATTCAATGAAGGATAACCACAGTATAATGGCAGCTGGAGCACTTATGTTTGGTTAAGACATTGTCAACAGCTAGACTGATAGGGAGACAGAAAGGCACCAGTTATAAAGGAAGTGTGTACTGGGAGTGGTAGCAATAGCCAGAGAGGTGGCAAAACATCATTGGTTACCCTGCGTTCTTGTGTAAACACACAAAACTTCCAGCGGATTAAGATAAGTACAGCAGTAGGAATGTGAGAACCAAAGAAGGCACCAAGATATATTAAAAAAAAGACTGGAACAAAGGTGCTTTAAACTACAATTTTTGTATATGAAAAGCGAAGAATGTAAAACAATTAAACGGAGAAGTGAAATCATCACCATTCTTAGAATATTAGCGGATGTCTCCGAAATGCTAAACCAGAAACGGAAAACGAACTCTCCACCCCAATACAGTGGTACAGATATACTAAGCTATTTGCGGACTTCTCAATGCACAAAGATAGAACATCAGTCTGCAAGGACACAAGAGAGAAATTATAACGGCACACGGCCAACAGAATACATGTCGTTTGCTGTCCGTTTCCATTTTTGGTTCAGTATTACGAGGGCTTCAAATATTCTAGGGAAGGTCCTCATTTTTTGTTCTCTGTTTAATTGTATTACATTCTTGCTTCAATATCATACACACACTGTAGTTTGAGACATCCTTATTCTGGTCTTTCGTTTCTTGGTGCCTTCTTTGGTTCTCACACTCCGACTTCTTGCACCAATTCACAGTTCCTGTTGGGAGTTTTGTGTGTTTACACAAGAATGCAGCGTACCCATTTGATGTTTTGCCACCTCTCTGGCTATTGCTACCACTCCCAGTACACACTTCCTTTATAACTGGTGCCTTTCTGTCTCCCTATCAGTCTAGCTGTTGAGAATGTCTTGACCAGACGTAAGTGCTCCAGCTGTCTTTTCCCAAATTCACTGTGGTTATTCTGTGTGTGTATATATATGTATACAAATTTTTTTTTATATACACACATTATATATACACACACACACACAAATGTATATATACAGTACTGTATATAGGGGGGTACCACCTCGGGTTTAAAGAGCACGTACAAATACTCACAAAAGTAACAGTTAGGGACGAGGTCTACATATTACATTAACCACACAACATAACATCTCCCAACAAGTTTGTTGTGTCTTTTGGAGGTTAGTACTGTAATGTGTTGAAATTTTGTTGGTCAAATTATGTGTATTCAAACTTGCTTGGGTTAATTAACATTTCAGTATTGATACAACAATCAGTTTCAATATAAGTATTTGTGGAAGGAGAACAGGAAATTGTATATGACGCTTTTGGTGAAAACTGAACACCATCAAACATGAAGATTTCCCAGCAATAATAGAGACAATAGTTTAGCCCAAGAGGATACACCTTCATAAGTTGTCCATTATCTACAGTGATCATCACTCGCATCTCAACTGGAATTTTACAGCTTGGAAATTCTTAGTTTGATAACATGTACTATTACCCATCTGTGAAAAATTATGTGTATGCATTTTAAAGCCAAAGGAACTCTGCCATTTACTCTCAAAGAATGGCAACTCTTGCAGAAAACTAAAAATAATCATGTTACATTTGATATAAACTATATAAAAAAAAAAGGCATAAATTATTTCTGCCTTTCAAACCAACATTTCTCAAGCATCTCCTGTTCTTCTCTCACAAAACTTTACCAATAAATGTTTGTTTTAAGCATAACATCAAGGAGGGGCCCATTCAATAACTGCAAGAAAATTAAGTTACTTCGTGCTGTCCAACGAGGACAGCATATTATTTATCAGAGCACTTGGAAATCAGGAGTCTAATGTACTTAAAGCATTTATGTAATATGGTCAATATTGGCAAGTGTGTTGGAGGGTTGACTGATACGCTCCAGCTCCTGAATATTGACCAGGTGCACATACCTCCAGCAGTCATTACCACCACAGACACGTGCTGGTCACCACTTGGGTCAAGAGCGCTCTAACCACTAACATACCCAACAAAATACTTAAGAATGGAGACCTTGGACTACAAGTAAACAAGCATAACAAAAAAGTATACAACAATTTACAACTTTGCAACTTTTCAGTTACAAGTTGAACATGTCCAAATATGGGTAATGATAATAACTTGACTTGCCTTAGTATACACAAGAATAATTGACTTTGTTGTCTTCATCAAGGCTCAGAATTGTTGAGCATTTCAACACTGAGTAGATAAATGCACATATAATCTATTTAAAACATGAGGCAAAAATCTTGCCTTGGCTAGACCTACTATTATTATTATTATTATTATTATTTCCTAATGCTATAATTCAAGTAGCTATTGAATTTTCACTTGCAAGTATACAATATACACTTAAGCAGTCTGGCAATGACAGTCCACGACTGAAGAGTAATCGTCCCTTTGGGGGAAAGTGGTGTTCACCTTCACGTATGTCTTCCCTAATATAACCTTCACACACATCAAAGTCCTCATTTTCAATTTAGTTTTGTTACAATTTGACCAAAGAACACCATGATAAGTTCAGGTGAATTGCAAAGCATTAGCGGCAAGTAATAATGTCACAATGTTTCAGAACACGTCCACGTCCTGAACCTGTGCTGGTCAACACAACCTTCCACCAACAGAGATTTCCAGCTAAACTCTGACACTTGACTAAAAAATATTGACTCAAGTTTACTTGTCCTGACTCATGGGTTGTGAGTGTGTATTATAAAGAAGCAGCAAATGGTAAGGTGCATGAGAGGACTGTGATAAGTTACATTAGCTTGATATGACACTACGTTAATACACAAACATGGGCCCCTCACTCAAACACAGACATCTTGCAGTAAGATAATCTAACAAAATCTTTTACTCCCATTACACAATGGGAAGAGAAATTCCTAAGTAAATTAGTGAATATATTTTCCTTTAAATGAAATTCCATCATTGAACATTACATTAGCAATCAGAAACATTTTATTGGCATTATAATTGATAATACAGTAGCCAGAGAACCTACAAAAATCTATTTCTTTTCTTAGAAATATTCTAATTCTCAGTGCACAATAAATTAAAGTATTTATGTAATTCCATAAATTAACACCTTGAGTACTATCTGGCAACTGTAATTGACAAAGAATGCCAGTTTTTTCACATTAAATCCAATTAACAACCACAATAAAGGTTTAAAGTGCTATTAAGGGCAAACATCTCATTGAAACAGACCAATTGGTAACATATTCATTCGCAAGTCATTCATCGATACACCCTTGTTTGAGAGCATCATTTAGCATAGGCCCTACTCCGAGTCTTTTAAAAGATTAACTAATTCAGCAAAATTCCATTATGTCTTAATAGAAAAAACATGGCACATTGAATTTATAATTGAGGAAGAAACAATATCCAGGAGAATTTCTCTTCATTTTTGGGCACAAAGATTAGTACCCATTTAAATGGCAGTAAGTTGCATTATCTAAAAGGTTTAGCTTGACTCAAAGTTCATAAAGAGAAGATTAATACCTCTGTTATTCAAAACCAGGTCATTTTCTCCATCCAGAACCTGGTTAAACATAATCCACATTATTAAGACTTGGATACCAATACTATGGCTACCCCAAGTTGAAGAGTATTTACTTACCCAGTAACTGTCCATCCCAATTTAAAGTATCCAAGAGTATGCTACCTAGAACAATGTCAAGAACATAAACTTTCTATATGGTATCATTAATCTTTGTTCTAGAGGTTTGTATAGTATAGACACTGATATCCTTGATAATGATAAAATGTTAGTGAGCAGGTGGTGGAGATCCTGGTGGTGGTAAAGTTACCAAGACGGTCGTCCCTCGACATCTACGGGTAATGGAACAATGACATGCCTCAAGTACCATGTACAACAACAAAGAAAATACCAATTAGGATTTCCTCCATCCTAAACACTGGTGAGCTCTTACAAAGATATGTACCTATATGCTTCATTAAAACAAAGCATGGTTGCTTACAACCATGAACAAATCAACTTTTGGTTTACATTATTACAATTAATAACTGTCCTCATTGTTACAGCCACGTCGTCCTACTAAGAAAACTATAAACTTGCCTCAGTTTGGGTTCAGTCTCCATAACTATCTCTTCTATTATGGGCTCTGTAACCCTGCAAAAACCCTGAATTGCATATTGTTGGGCAATTTAACCATTTAACTACGATGATTCTTTGTTCAGGATTCACTTATCATTCCTACAAAGCCAGGCTGTGGTAGTGGTCGTGTCACTACTTCCAAACGTCAACCACAAACCTGCCAAATACCAACAAATCTCTTTCTTAAAGTGTCTTCATCACCATTTTAACAATATAACAGTCATATAAAAATAAAAATTCATCTTCATATATACTTGGTGTCTAATAGCAGCAGAGAGAGTAGCTGGCAACTTATCATGGCATGGTTGTCAGCATCTCCAGCTGCCCACCTTGTACTTTCTGGGAGTACAGTGGTGATGACATTACAGATTATGACCTCTTAGTACACCGTCAACACAGGCTACTTATCTTAATGATAAAACATGAAGCCTGTATGATGTGCTATGCAAGACTCATAACCACCAATTGCATCACAGTAGAACCTTTTCTAACATCACAGACAAATGTGACAGGTGTAATTCTTAGTCTCATACTGGAATATGAAGCTATGCTTCTGTCTCAAAGAGGTCTCCAAAAGTGTGCCAGCCTACACAATAAAGGTCAAAACAGAAAGCCACCTTCACTAAACTGGTACAAGGTCAATATAATCTTCATTATTTTGTAATTAAAAAAAGGAAGAATGTGGAAGACTGCATATTAATTTCCAGTGACAAAGCAATGAATCTGTATTTTGAAAATATTATGTACCAAAACAGTTACCCCACTCAACCTTACGATGATTAGTTGCAAATATTATATTATTACAAGTAATTATATGTTTCAGGTTTTTAATCACAAGAGCAAAATTAACAAGGTACTAAATTTTATACTGTATATTTTGGCAAATATTTAGCTAATAAATTCACACTTAACACCAACACATTTAGTGTAAATGCATCACTCTTCACTTGACCTTTACTGTTGACTACTTGCTTTTGGTGACCCCTCCATGACAGTATCATCAGCTGGTGTCACGAGTTACTCTGGTGACCTGCAGACACTGGGGCAGCTGAGGCGGTGTTTGTAGCAGCAGTGTGGCAATGGCAGTGGTAGTGGCACAGTGGCAGGTACCCCAAGATGGTTGCCGACACGAAGGGCAGTCATTTACGACGTGGGGGTTGTGAAACTTGGGAAGAAGGTCCTTGTAGTGTTGTACTCTTTGCTACATTCTTGTTAGGAATTGTGCCGTTTATCAAACTTCATGTAGCTAGTGCTGTACTAAGCCTATCAGGTATCAGTATTTGAATCAATCCTAAGCTAGATGTAAAGTAAGTGTACTAGCTGCTCAGACCATAAACCCACAGTCTAAATAACCACCACTTCTTGTTCATATCCAACTGTGCCTTACTCCAGGATGGACACGTTAACACCAGAGTCTGGACTCTTGAGCCCGCTGGAGGAGTGGCTTTGAGGAGTATGGGGTGGGTATAGAGTGAGACCTTCCCCGTCCTGGCCCACTGGCGAGTGATTGTCGTATCCACCACCCGGCATTACCAGCATGTCCCTCATGCCCACTGTACGGCTGCAATGTTAAAAACCCTTTGTTACAATGATGCTACTCGATGAATTTGATAATGCGAAGAACTTAAAATAATTTACTGTATAATGAAACACCTTTTTCTGGTGGCCCTTCTGTGGCTCTCCACAGCTTATACACCATCACCCTGGGGGCAATACCACCTCACCGGCGTACTGGAGACATGCACCAGAATTATGCCTTCTCACAGAAGCGAGAGCCAAAGACGTCATGATCTCAACACCGAGGGAAATATCCTGTCAAAATGGTTGAAGGAGCATCACAAAATGCTCAGAAATGATTGATACAACTGACTACCAAAGCTGAAAACTATTCACAAACAAGCAAAATGCCAGCATGAAATGAAATACAATGAAATGCTTCTATCCGGCAGATCCAAGGTTACTAGCCACTCTGAATAACTCCACGCATCAAATTGCACCAGGGCCTTGGGAGTTTTTAATGGCTGACCAAAACTTAGTGGAGTCCACTCCACTCAGCCCTTGCTGAGTGGAGTGGACTCCAGTATCTAGTATCCTCAGCCCTTGCTGAGGATACTAGATCAGTAACCGAGGAAATGCCCACCAGAAAGGCAGAGAGAAACAAAACATAAAAAAACAGAAAGCGAGACAACCTGCAGTTAAGTTGCTCACCACTAGTTCCACCTCCCCACCAGCAGGTAGCAGCACCAGGAGCTGGGGGCTCACAAGGTTTCAAGCAAGAGCCATGGAGACAGAAGCTCCTTGAATCCACCAGAATGAGACACTTCATTACATTCAGCATTTGGCTTCTGTGAGGGCTTCCAAAGTAGCTCCCTGTTGCTATTTCATAGTAGAGAACAGATAGAAAAAATAGGGAGCATCGTGAGAGGAGAGCAGATCAAAACTCTCTAAGAAATAGGAAATCCTTGACGGGTAACTACCCAGCACCACACATGCCTGGTGCTGCCATTGTAACATGCTACCAACATCCTCCCTATCTTGTGTTGGTTCTGGGAATCATTGTCTCCATGACCCAGTTTCTGACCAGGCCAGAATGATGATCTGGTCAACCAGGCAAATAGGTGCTTGCTTGCTATCAATACATTAACATTAAATATGGAACTGGCAACTCCAGGGGGCCTGACAGCTGACTGGACAGTGCTTCGGATTCGTAGTCCTGAGGTTCCGGGTTCAATTCCCAGGTGGAGGTAGAAACAAATGGGCAGTTTCTTTCACCCTGATGTCCCTGCTACCTAACAGTAAATAGGTATCTGGGAGTTAGCCAGCTGCTACGGGCTGCTTCCTGGGGGCGTGTAACAAAGAGGAGGCCTGGTCGAGTACCGGGCCGCGGGGACGCTAAGCCCCGAAATCATCGAGATAACCTTAAGATAACCTCCACACTTGCTGTGACTCAATGAGAGGCCGTCTGCTTCAACATCCGGGAGTCACCACATAAATATTGAAACATGCAGCCAAGTAGTATTTGAGATAAAAAAGAACATTCAAATTAGTCTTGCATACTGAATGTGATAATACATACCAAGAGCAACATTAGATAACAAGTAATGTAATACAAGAGCTTACTATAAACAAAAAGCCAGCGTTGAATGTAATGAAACGCCATTTTCTGGGAGAGACCCAAAGGCTCCCCGGAGCTATACAGGCTGATATGCTAATTAGCACTATCGCTCGCTTTGGACACCGATCACGTCCATTTTTTTCTCCAGAGTCCTGGCCATGGACAGGACTTGCGTCCACTACAAAAATATTTGTATAAAATTCATTTTTTATCCAATTGACCTTGGGATAGTTTCAAAATAAGCACCTTTAAAATGAGCACAATTTGATACCAAAATGAAAGATATAACACAAAACTTGATGTCAGAACACAAAGATTATAAATACGTTTTTGGGTCTAAATTTTAAATTTTAAAATATTTGTTAAAATTCTATTTATTGTGCTATTATTATGGGACTAGTTTTAAAATGCGGGCCTTTATATTGCGAACAATTTGATACCAAAATGAGCGATGTAACATGAAATTTTATGTCAGAACACTGGAAATATATAAATAATTTTGATGATGAGCGTACAAAATTAAAATATTTGTTAAAATTCCAGTTATTGCTCTATTATTATGGGACTAGTTTTAAAATGCGCGCCTTTATTTTGCGAACAATTTGATACCAAAACGTGTGATGTAATATGAAAATTGATGTTATCAAACAGAACAAGTATACTGTACACATTAGGTGGTGGTGTGCAAATTGGTGCTCGTTCACGGGTAACTTTAGGCTATGCTCCGGGAGTCTCGCCAGGCTTTTGGACATTATATGCATATACATCTGCAGGGAATTTAATTGCGAACACAATGATACCAAAACGAACGACGTAGCACAAGAATTAAGCTTAGCGAGAAAACTGAAACGAGTACAGTATACACATTTAGGCGTCGCCGCACGCTCGCCCACACCACTGGCCCCACGGCGTCAAAGTCTGCGGTGCGCGCATGGTGCCGGCGATAGTGTTAATATCAGACTTTAGCATCAGTCATGTGCAAGGAGTTCAAAGGGCCTACCGGGGACCACGAGCCAGAACCTGGCCCCCTCGGAGAGGCAAGGGAAGCAATTGCCTATAGAAACCCCCGTGTGGTTGGAAGCATTCTGTGTCTGCCATCGACCGGGTCAGACACCCAGAAAGGTAAGCATCCCAAAACAAACCCCTATTCTGGTGAAAATTGCTACCAAACACCGAACTTGGGGATAGAACTCCCCAAACAGAAACGAGCAACTAGCATGACGTCACACGTTACCGCGCTGCTGTCTGCGTAGCTTCCCCCTCCCCGGGAGGGGGAAGGGGGAGCCCCAGACCCCCACGCTGGTGATCCACACCCCAGTTCTGAGGCTGAATGTCAAGAAAATGCAAAAAACCGCCGACCAGAGAGAGGGAGGGATGCCGGGGAGCCTCCGGGTCTCACCCAGAAAATGGCGTTTCATTACATTCGACATTGGTTTTCTGGGGGAGTCCCTTCAGCTCCCTGGAGCCAACTACCCACAGAGGAAAGGCGAGGGACTTACCCGGGAGGCGGTCGCTGCTCACTCCTCAACTCAAAGACGAGACAACTGGCTGCAACCGCCGACCCAAGTTGGTATAGGCCCGACTAGGCCAAGGAACGTTTACGAGATAACGAGCAGCCAGGACCCAGTTCAACCGCCTAAAACCCCGCGCCTGAATGTCAGACCAGGACATGTTGCCAAAAACGGCAGCAACGGCAGCGCACTTACGGACGTCATGGGCACTGGGAGAGACCACAGGCTGGCCAGATGTAATAACCCTGCGGACGACCTGGAAGACCCGAACCTGCGAACAGGGAAGAAGGGAAACCGGATCAACCCAAAGCGCGTCCGTCCCTGGACACACAAGCCGTGGCGCACAAATAACGGCGGATGGCCGCAACTGAACACAAAGCATGATGTACCCCCGGCCTAACAAACTAAGCATCAACAACCCAATGACCCCTCCAGAAAGCAGCAGCCACATTCATTGCCAGAAAAGAAGGGGACGGCTGCAGATGAACAAAACAATCAACCCGACCGAAGGAGCAGATACCCCCCCGGCCAGAGAGAGCATGAAGCTCCCTGATGAAATCCCCAGAGGCTAATGCCAACAGGAAAAAAAGAGCCCCCGAGAAACAAACCGGAACTGAAGGGGACACAAGAAACCGAGGAGAAGATCACGCCAACAAAACACAGCCACCTAAGAAGGGACAGAAGGAAAAAGAAAGGACCGCCAAAAAACCCCACACTGCTGCCAAGAAGAAGTCCTCAGATGAGACACCATCAACGAAGCCACCTGATCACCAACAGAAGGTAAGAGACTTGAGGCAGAGCCGAACCAGCCCCGTGCCATGGACCAAACGAGCTGAGGAAGAGACGGAGCCGCGGGAAGGTCTTGGGTGCGACCACCGAGCAGGCAGAGCCGAAAACCCGAGCCGGCAAAGAAGGAGAAGGAATGTCTGCCGTACAGAAAAAACGTCCCAAGAACCAAGGCAGACTCCACCACACCAGGTAGACAAACAAAAAAAGAAAAAGAAAACCCAGCAAGAGGGCAGCGTACCCAGGCGGAACAGAGTCAGCCGCCATGACTGGTGGAAACAAGCTGTGCAGTACCCCGCGCCCCTGCCAATGCAAACTGCCCCTTACCCTAAGGCGATCAAGGGAGACAGAATCCCCTAGTACACAAAGGGCGGCCAAAAACCAAGCAGTAAATGGCCTAGCAGAAGTAGGGGGGTTTGTTTGTTTGGGGGTTACCTTCCACAAGGAACTTGTGGAAGGTAACCCCCAAGCCCTGAGGGCAGTACTTACAGGGCACCTAGGGAAGGTAACCCTAGGCGCATGCAATCCGAGTACTGGAGACTCACTCCCGGCTCACGCACCACCTAGAGGACAGACACCACACACTAGGTACAGTGCTGAAACAACATCTGGAGCCGAAGCACATGACTGGTGTTTCTAGCATCAGCCGAAGAACTGAGGTGTGGATCGCCGGCGAGGGGGGAATTTGGGGTTCCCCCTTCCCCCTCTCAGGGAGGGGGGGGGGGGGAGCTGAGCAGACAGCGACGCGGTGACATGTGATGTCATGCTAGTTTGCTCGTTTCTTTTGTTCTATCGTTTGTTTCTTTGGAGAGTTCTATCCACTAGTTCGGCATTAGGTAGCAATTTTAACCAGAATAGGGGGTTTGTTTTGGGACGCTTACCTTTCTGGGTGCCCGACCCGGTCGATGGCAGACACAGAATGCTTCCAACTACACGGGGGTTTCTATAGGTCATTGCTCCCCCTTGCCTCTCTGAGGAGGCTAGGTTCTGACTCATGGTCCCTAGTAGGCCCTTTGAACTCCATACACATGACTGATGCCAAAGTCTGACAATAGCATATTAGCCTGTATAGCTCCGGGGAGCCGAAGGGGTTTTCCCCAGAAAAATATAGTTGGGGTTTCAGGAAAAGCTGGAGGGAAGGATAGAAAG